TTTATAAGTTGCAAGAAATCTATGACTCTGTGCAGCCGCTGTTATGTTTCTTTTTTTTTTCTATTTATTTATTAATTTTTTCCCTAGAAAACGGAACATCAAAGCAAATCCTGTCATGTGAGTAAAAATTTGAAGCAAATCCTCTCATGGGCGTATGAATTTGATGACCCATTTGTTTTGTGGAGGCGTTATTTTTCCAGTTGATGGTTTGTTTCAGTCCCTAATTAGGGTATCAAACATTTAAAATTATTTTCCTTATCTTTGAAAAGCAGGAAAGGAAGATACATTTTGATAAAATTCAACATAAATATATATTTTGTTTTAAGGCAAAATTGCATTTTGTGGCAATTGTGGACAGCTTCTTTTTGGTTTGGCAAAAGTGCCATGAAACTTGTTAAAACTCGGAATTCGTGTTCAATTTACCTACAAGTTACCGGATTTGACCGGTTTTTCGTGTGGTAAAATAGGACAGTAATTTGTTAAAATTCGAAATTTTGTGCCCAAATTGAACAGTTTTAACAAGTTTTAGGGCACTTTTACCAAATTAAAAAGAAAGTTGTCTACATTTGTCACACACCCTTAATTACAGGGTATAAAATGCAATTTTGTCTTGTTTTAATGACATTCAAAGATAATTTTATATTTCTAGCTTTTAGAAAAAGAAATAAAGAATAAAATAAGGAAGGAAATCTCCATGATTTGGAAAAACTTAGAATTACTATATCATCCTATTTAATATTTATAGACAATTCAACTTGTGCAGTGGTATTGATATTTAAGACTAGTGGCTCCACAATTAGCCCGTTTATGGTACTAAATAATTATTAATATTTCTTGTTTATCGTTTATTAAAAAAGTTTGTTAATTTATTTCTAATTTTCTACTATTCCGGCAGACGGTGTCTAAGCGGCTCTCAGAAAAGAAAGTGGCCAAGTTTGAGAAGAACATAACGAGAAGAGGCACTGGCAGCAATGGTTCGTCTAGAAATGGATTCGAGCCGGCTCATATTGTTCTCATTCTCTTTGCAGTCTTGGTGGTAGCCTCTTGTAAG